TTTTGTTAGCAATTAATTCAGACATCATCTTTGATTAAAAAAAAAAAACACAAATTCTTTTATATATTTTTGTTTTGCTGGTTAAAGTTTTTTTTTAATATTGTGCTCCTGAGATAATGTTGGTGATTAGTTTGAATGCATTATTGCTTCTTGATTTTATGTAATTTTATTTTTATTTTTTTATTAATTTTTTAAAATTAATTTTATTTTTCAGTATCGTATTGTTTGACATGGTCAAAAAATATTTATTGTTAAATTAAGGATTTAATGTTATTTTTGAATTTCAGATGCACTTTAAATCTTTTCTGTTCCAGTTACTAAAAGCTATTCTTTGTTGCAAGTTGGTCCATAAAGTTGGTCCATATTTCTTTCTTTTTTTTTTATTCTCTTATACATTAATAAGGATACAGTGTTATGCAAAGGTGTACTTATAACAATTTTATAGACAAATGATACTATTTATAGTCGTGCGGGGGTGGGGGGGCGAGATGTTTTCCGCTTCCTTGGGGGCATGACAGAAAATAATTGAGAACCACTGCCGTACAGGATGGAAAAACTTACTGTGTGCATCAATCACAATTATTTCCAATTACGTATTTTACAAAAGTGGCTGCAATTCGTCATTATATTTGTGTTTTAGGTTGTGTTTGTTTGTTTCCAATTTTGGTTTAGCTACAGGGGAGTTTACGTCTTAGATTTACACTTTACAGCTTGTATTAGATGCAATTTAAAAGTGCAAGTCAATGTCGAGCACTTGTGTGTTTTAAGAGTCTTCTGCCCCAACTTCCCATACTTAAAATGAACTTTTATTTGTAACTGTCAATGCACATTTTATACTTATCATTCACTGTTTCATTTTCAATCCCCAAAATAAATTACTGACTATGGTGTATATTAGACACACCTTCAGAACTTGTATGAGATTCTGCTCAATCCTCAATTTTTGCTCCTTCTTCAGAGTTGAAGCTGAAAGAGAAGACAATAAATTTCAATAAAATCTTTCCAGCGAAGATATGCATACACCATATACACACAGATAAAATAAGTGGTACCCCTCTCTTAGTGAAATGAAACCCCACACCCATCCAGCCATTATTTGAGCCGCACACAAGAATCGCATGTGTGCTGGAGCCTATCCCAGCTGTATTCGGGCAGTCGGCAGGGTACACCCTGAACTGCTTGCCAGCCAATCGCAGGGCGCACATCAATGAACAACCATTCACACTCACAATCTCACCTAGGGACAATTTAGAGTGTTCAATTAACCTACCATACGTATTTTTGGAACGTGGGAGGAAACCAGAGTACCTGGAGAAAGCCCACGCAGGCATGGGGAGTGACAAGAATGGGTACACCGATTGACGGTTTAACATTCATCAGTAAAAATCCATAAACTGTCATGTGAAAAGTCGCAGGGTTCAAAGTTTGGAAAAAAGTAGCGGTTTATAGTCCAGAAAATACGGTATGACAAATCATTAACACGACCAATATCATAACACTTACCACTATTAAAAGGTGATTTGAGCAAATTTTTTATTGCATAAGTGTGTATCAAATAGCAGCCCTTTGCACAAAACAGTAGAGGGCTAATTAGCATACAATTCAACCATTTAATTATAGAAACTACGGGCTCAGTGCTCAATGTAAAAACAGTGCTTGCCTCTGCCCAGTAGCTCCATACAGAATATGATGTAGTCTTTAACACTGGCCATCAGATAGGCACAATGAAGAGCTGTGGTTAATATGGCCGTCTGGATTCCACACCAACGCTCGGCACGATAGTCACACATCACATAGTCCAACAGTCTAAAAACAAAAGCAAATTGAGCTCACTGGTTAGGGTCATCCTTCACAAGAAATGGCAGTAAAGTATCAAATTCAAATCTGATTCTCGCCGCATACTGTCTAATCATCTAACTTGTTGACATACTTGAGGGCTTTGGCATAATCTTGAGCATGGTAGTATTCTTCTCCCATTTGCACCACTGAGGAAAACAAAAAGAGATGAAGTATGAGAAAAAGGGGTGCCAGTGTAAGTAATTTTTTTATTAATGTATGACTTTTCTATGGCTGTGGTTTGTAATGGAAAATATATTTTTTAACACATTCCTTCTGGAACCACCTTTAGTGGCATTAAGTTTGGATACTTTCTGCACAACAATTTCAGTCCCATAACGTGAATACATTTGTTAAATTCAACCATTTTCACAATAGTGCTTCAGTTCATAGATGTGTGCAGGTATTCTTTTTTGCACAGTGCTCTAAAGGTTCCGCTGGAGCGTTTCAACAGGGACAAGATTTGAATCGGCCACAAATGTGTCACAAGTAAGTCTCATCGTAACCGTCAAGTCTCAAGCAAATCCCAAGTCACGGTGGAAAAAAGTCACGTCGACACCAAATTTCAAGTAAGTCATTACTTGGTTCAAGCAAATTGTAAGCCAAGCCATAAAACTTGTTCAGTCATATATCCCTGATCATACTGATGCAGACATTAGTAGTATACATGGGAGGATGCTGGGGCTGTGGGTTTGCCGCATCCCCGGAGCTTCTCTTTAATCACAGCTTGAATTTTAGCCTTTTTACCTGCTTTTAGCCTGCTGTGTTGGCCTAACAAGTGAATGGTTCCTGTTACATCTGTCACTTGTTATACCCGTAAAGAGTGGTTGCATATCTGAAAGCTTCCACTGTCATCCTTCTTTACAACAAACAAAATTTTCAAACCAATATATCATTACATATGCTTCTCACTTGTAGCAATAGGCCGAACACTTTACAATACTAACGTATCGTATTCGTGAGAATAACATGAACATGGGCATAAAACATTAATATATAACATACATCGTAGAAAGCGTTCCGTCAGTCGTCATCTGTACCTGTGGGTAAAAAAAAAAAAAAAAAAAAGGACGTTTCGCTTCTCTCACAGAAGCTTCGTCAGCGGTAGACAACTCTGAAGTCTCCATGAAGACTCCGGGCAATTGCTCTGCGCTAAAAAGCTGAGCGTGGCCTATTTGAGGACTGGGTGGGGATGGTTAGTCACGCCCCTACGGTGAAGAGGCCCATTGATTTCTAAATTCCCTATGGTTGGGTCTTGATTAGGCCTATTGTTTGGGCTAGGGCTGAATAGCTACTTTCAGTTAGCCTGATCAGCATGTCTATGTCCCTTGGTGGTCAACAAGTTATTGTAAATAGGAGACAATAACTTTTATTCTTATTGTAAATAGGAGACAATAACTTGAAGAATAACTTCAAGACCCAACGATAGGGAATTTAGAAATCAATGGGCCTCTTCACCATTGGGGCGTGACTAACCATCCCATCCCCACCCAGTCCTCAAATAGGCCACGCTCAGCTTTTTAGCGCAGAGCAATTGCCCGGAGTCTTCACGGAGACTTCAGAGTTGTCTACCACTGACGAAGCTTCTGTGAGAGAAACGAAACGTCCTTTTTTTTTGGGGGGGGGGGTGGTTTTTTTTTTTTTTAATTGAAATGGCATGCAACTAATGCCGGTTTTCTCTGATCTTTTTATCCTTTCTACGATGGAACTTTCCTGTACGACTGAGAGCCTCCACAAGTATATAACATACAGTATATAAGCAGTTACCGAGTAAATGTGTAAAGCATTTTCTAAATAATAGTAAAGCATCAATGTATAGTTTGGCAATGTCACAGCGATTCTAATGCAAACAAGATCACAATAAAAATATCATATGCATATGGTGCAATCAACATCATAATCATATTTGTCCATAATTCATAGCATAACAAATCATACGTTTCTTTAATATCAGCAGGTCGTTACATGCCTTTATGGCAGAACAATTTAAATCATATGCATTGCGTTTTCACTCCTTAGATTTGGTTAGGCGAACTCTATTGTTCAAAGTTGGAAATTACAATCCAAACCGATTCTCATTCAAATTCATTTTGGGAGTTAACCCATTAACTCAATCCATTTCACATTAAAATCTGTCATTTAATCAAAATTTCATCTGACATTGTGCTTCTATTACATCTTTTTTCATCCCCACCTCACATATGGACTCTTAGGCCTCAGCACAACTTGACACTGTAGTATGTGACAATCACTCCATCGTGTATGTCACAACTTGCCCAAAGTCAGCAAGGATAGGATGTAGCTTCTCCTGAACTTTTCAATCAATTAATGTTTTGCAGCAGTCCTGTATCATCCAAAATGCGTTTGCGAATGCTTGCTCTAGATCACTATACAAGTTGCATTTGTGAGCTTTCATCATGGTACAGCAGAACCATTGCAAACGTTACTTACTGAGATGACTTTTCATTCGTGGGCATTTGTACTTCTTAAACTGGGCAACGGCATTGCTGAGAAGAGTTATGATCAGTTCCTGCACCGATACAGACTATTAGCAACAACTTGATAAAATATTGAAATTAGGTGGCATTCATGTTTGCATACTTACTGAATGAGGGACATCCTTTTCGTTAATCTGTAATGCCAGAATTCCCTTTTTTTCTTTGTCTTGGTCAGGAGGATCAATACCTAAAAATGCAAGTGTAATTATAGAAGCATTCCTTAAAGTGATGTAATTTAATGTGATGTAGATGTTTTGCAGTCCCCTCCAAAAGTATTGGAATGGCAAGGTTAATTCCTTTGTTTTGCTCGTACAGTGTTCCCTTGGTACTTCGCAGTATGGTTATTGTGTCTTCAGTCCATCTTTAATTTTCATTTGTGACCGGATCTTAATCTATTGCAGATTAATTTAACTTTTTCTATTTTTTTTTATTTTTTTTTTAACTTTCTGTTTTTTTGCTATTTTTCTTGTGTGTGTTTGAGGCACTGTGATTTCCCCTCTCATCAAGTTACAATGGCAGCCTGTTCTAAACCAATCAGCAGCCCGTGCTTGAACTGTTTTCATTTGGACTGTCCCAAGTTGGAGCGCCAATAGTGCACACCTGCACTCCATTTTTGGTGCACCCCAGGGAGACCAATTATCGGTCGGGCCGATTATCAGCGTCAATATTGAGCATTTTTATGAATATCGGCATTGGCCTCTTTTGAAAATCTGACTGCAGATAATAGATCAATTTAAACTGCGTTCGCTTCATTTAACTTTGTAAGAGACCCTGGGAACTCTCTGCACCTCTGTTTTTGCTTCAAATAAAACTAAGATAAGTACAATTTTGACATAAAATTTATTTTGAAATTTTATAAAACTATTTACTGTATCAAAAATTATGGAGTTATTGTTTAAGTTTTTGTGTTTTTTTAAATGTTGCCATGGTGAAAAGTTTTTCTATAAACACATACTATGAAACTTTTAAAAAAAGTCAGGAGTTGCAGTTTGTATTTTTGGAAATTTTGATACCAATATTTTCCTTTTTAATGAAAGTGAATATTGGCTCCAAGTATCGGTAATCGGCTTTCCTGACTACTAATAATCGTTACCAGGAGTGGTGGCCCTGAAAAAAAAAAAAAAAAAAAAAACACTCACAAATTAAAGAATGTCGCCCAGTGCAGGCAGTGGAAGGAAAGTAATAAACTGTGTTTAAAAATTCATGTGGGTAGCCTATTTATTCTTCATTTTGCATTTTAAAAGTTCCATTTATGAAGTGTAACAAATTTTTGGAAGGGTGGGAACCATGTAGGGTGGGGGTCATAATGGCTTAATAGAGGCATAAAACAACAACAACAAAAAAAGCAACCTTAACTTCGTGGATTTCGCCTATTGTAGATCATTTTTGAAACGTAACACGAGCGATAACCGAGGGACGACTGTATCCTGAAGATACTTGGCTTTCAGATCAAAACATGAACATGAGACAAAAAGTTGAGAAGAACAGCTTTTATTTCATGCTGATCATGTCTAGATGTGTTGAAAAACTCAGAACACAGCAGCTTTTGTTTGAAGCCAATTTCAAGTGAGCAGAAGTACTGGAATAGACATGACTGAATCAGCTAGAGAAGAAAATGTCATATTTGATAGTAAACCCCTTACTTGTAATAACTGCATCAAGCCTGTGACCCACTGACTTCACCAGACTGTTGCATTCTTCACTTGAAATGTTTTTGCAGCATTTATTCCAGCCTCTTTCAGTTCTTGTTGGTTTCTGGGGTTTATTTGGTTAACTGTCAGTCACTGACTTGGCCAATCCAAAACCTTTTACATTTTTCCCCTGATCTTGTTGGATCAACAGTGTCTTTTTGAGCCAATGTCTTGTTGCATGATGAAGCCTCCCCTGATTAGTTTGAATTCATTTTTATGTAAATTGCCCGACAAAATGTTTTTATAGACTTCAGAATCCCTTCTGCTGCTAGTATCATCAATAAAGATTAGTGAGTCTGTTCCAGAAGCAGCCATGAAAGCCCAAGTGATGATATGACATCTACCATGATTTACACATGAGCTTCTGTGTTTTGGATCAAAAGCGGTTCCTTTCTTTCTCCAGACTTTGGCCTGTCTGTCAGTTTGAGAGAGGCTGATCTTGGTCTCATCACTCCAGAAAACTGTGATGCAAAACATTTCTGGTTCATGTCTGTACTTCTTTGCTAAATCCGATCTGTTCTTCCAATTATTTTTGCTGATAAGTGGTTTGCTTCTTGTGGTATCACCTGCATATATATTTCTTCTCTCAAAGCATTCTTCAAACAGTGGATTGTGTTACCTTCATCCCTGCCCTGTGAAAGTTGGTAGTGATGTCACTGACTGTTGTCCTTGGGTGCTTTGGCACACCTCTCACAATGTTTCTGTCATCAACTGCTGTTGATATCTTTGGCCAAACTGTTCGATGTCTGTTTCTGAGTAAACCAGTAGTTTCTTTTTTGCAGCATATTCCAAATTGATGAATTGGCTGTGCCTAATGTTTGTGCAATACCTATGATATATTTTCCCTCTCTCCTCGACTTAAAAATGGTTTACTTTTCTCCCATAGACAGCTCTCTGGTCTTCCTTCAAGTTTACTGAACAGCAAATGCTATTTTCAGAGGTGAAAGCCGAAGCCAAAAACAAGCACTATCTCATGTTTAAACAAACAATCTAAAAGGCAACACCAGTGTAGCGAGAAACACCGATCAGTCACATGACCCAATAGTTTGGCTGACTTGTAAAGTGGATGGGTTCAAACAAAAGGTGCTCTGTTCTAAGTTGTTCAACACATCTAGATGGAAATACGAAGTAAAAGCAGGAATTCTGAAATGTCTCATTCATCTTTTGATCTGAAACCCAAATGTCTTCAGTATGGAACCAAAACACAGGAATGGACCTCGCCTTTACAATACTTTTGGAAGGGACTGTATGAGTGGCCTACTCTGGTGTCCTTGTCTCCATGGTCTCTGGCCATAATAGTCTAGTCCTCCACTCAGTACATCCGATGGGCCAGATGAAGGATGCATAGCTCCAACCTAAACCAATTAATCAGCGTATTAAAAAATCTTGACTTAGGTGTTTACAGACAATACAATATATCCTGCTTTATATAACGCTTTCACAACAGCTCCAACTGTAACAAAGCGCTTCACAAACGGTTAACATAAAGTAAAATAATAAACAACACATAACATAAAACACGGACAGTCATGCAATCCTAACCACTTTTCCCTCATACACTATGTTGTTTGAATCAGTTGTAGAAAGAGGAGAGAATCAGCATGTCCTCTCACCAGTGGATTAAAGATGTCATGCTCAAAATGTGCACACGTCGGCTACAAGCTAAATTTCAAAGTAAACAAGAAGCTGTAGTGTCCATTGACCAAAAATAGAGATTGGTTCACTTCTCCAACATGCAGTTGCTAGAACATATTTCATTTATCTTAATGTGTGACAGATTACCAATCAATAACAAATATAAAAAGCCACCACAAAGGGTTAAAATGCTCCACTTTTGTAATCTAAAAAATAAATAAATAAATAAACTAAGCTGGATACTTGAAGAACTTTTTCCACTTTGAACATGACACACAATCTGTACACTCGAATTAAAAACAATCTTATTGGGAGAGAGATTAACAATAAAATGTGAGTGCCTCTTGAATTAAAACAGCATTTTTCAAACCCTGTGCCGCGAGATACTGTCAGGCGTGCCGTGGGAAATTATCCAATATATATGCCTGTGCGGTCTATTGCCTGACAGAGTCATCAAGTAGTACTCTTCCATACCGGTACGGAGCAGCATTGCCTTGTACTTCGAGACAAGCAAAGTTTCTGGCGCGAGGCGATACAACGAAAAGCTATCGTTCATTTGGATTTACTTTTACCGGAGATGCAATGGCACCAACTCCGTTGTGCTTGGTATGTGGTGAAAAGCTTTCCAACAGCGCTATGCTCCAAAGTAAGCTTAAACTCCATCTCCAAACAAAACACCCTTCACTTTGAAACAAAAATGTGGAATATTTTGTTCGCCTGTGTGAATACACGGAGAAACAAGCAATGTGGATGAGAAAACTTGCAAAGGTAAACGTGAGAGCCTTGAAAGCAAGTTACCATGTTGCTGAACGTGTGGCTAAATCAAAAAAGTCCCACTGGCAGAGCAATTAATACTTCCCGCCTTCAAAGCCATTGTAAATTAGATGTTTGGACCCAAAGCGGCTAAAGAAATAGCCTGCCTGCTGTAAAAACTAAAAACAAAGAAAGAATGAGAGCTCTGGAGGAAGAGCTTCGTGTGTCTTTCATCGATTGCTGCCAGGACATCAGATCTGATTTCATCCAAACCATTTATCACACTGAGTGGGAATGAATATGAAAGACTTTAAAATATTTGATTAATGTTGATTTGTATCCTATTCAAGGTGTTATAAAATAGCATTATTTTTCAATGTTAAAAAAACGCTTATAATAACAAAGTAACATTTAATTGTTTAAAAAAAAAAAACTTTTCACATTTTCAGCTAGTGGTGTGCCGCGGGATTTTTTTCAATGAAAGAAATGTGCCTTGGCTCGAAAAAGATTGAAAAACACAGAATTAAACATCGTGCTAAATAAAGGGACATTATGTGAGCAGTAATACCAAAACTTGCATCACACACTACACACATGACTAGACTATTAGCGAGAGCCGCTCGCCTCCCAAAAGAGGATGAAAGGACATGACAGCAAGGGACACTGGGCAAGATGCTTTGCACTGTCAAAAACTATGGGCTATTCGACAGAACGGTTACATACAGCAACGCATCGGGCCAGGTTTGAATAGTAACAAAAAAAACTCTTCTTATAGAGTGCTGAGCCGAACATTCTGGCTTCTTTTTGTTATTTTTATATGTTATGTTATATGTTATGTTTTTTGCCCCCTTCTTAAATTCTTTTTTTTTTTTAAATTTCAGTTTTCTCCATCTGGGATTTTCTGTTGTCATAAGTGAATGGACTCATACGCTCCTACAAATGCATTGACTGAAAAAAAATTATAAAATAGGCAGCAGAGTTTGTTCAATGTTACATTCATTTGTAGACGTTCACCAGACATTCCCATCAAATTTTGAACATGTTTAAAAGTTATTTGCAAAAAGCAAATGTTGGAGACGTTTCAAATTGTCGTTGAGTGTCTATGCACCCATTAGTGACCTTGAATGAACACTGAAGAAAAAAAACAATCGCTAAGTCCGCACACACTTGTAAACCATTCCCGCTCAGTGAGATACGGCCTTAACATATCTTCTTAAGACTCTTGACAATTCCTTGTTTCATTTTCAGCAAGCAGAAAGAAGATAGAGGGAAAAAAAATTCAAGGAAGCCATTTCACCTTTATAGCTCATTCATACAGTATAAAATTCACCTGACTGAGTTGAAGTGCAAGTCGTTTTCTTTCCTGGCTGTAATAGGCAGCCTGCTGGTAGTAGAAACCAGGGTTCTGTGTCTGGATAGCGGCCAAACCCAATTTTATTGCATCATCAAACAGCTCACCAAAAGACTGGAACCTGAGGACACACAAAACATTTCACTAAATAAGTCACGAAAGCCTGTTTACACTTTATGATTTTGTCTATCTCAGATTAATGACGCAAACTCATGGACAGATGGGGGAGGACACCAGGGGCAGCCACAGCATTTGGTACATGCGCCTTCAGTCAGAATGATTGAATCCACCTCTTTATACCATTACTACCGGGTCACAATTACATTATTCATTTACATTTTTTGATGTAATCTTTATTTGTCCATGGAAGGCAATTGAAAAATGAATGTCTTTTGCAGTGCCGGTGTGGATGCAGATAGCAGAATAAACCAAGGTATAATAATGTGGTTAATATAAATAATAATGCGTACACCAATCAAATGCAAATAAATACATTTTCAACTGCACAACGTAACATACACACAGCATTTCACAAAACATACACAAAACAGAAAATAATAATATAATATCATTACAACAAAATCTTTTTTCTCCGTTCAGGAATTGCAGAGTTCAATTACCCCTTGTTGCACTGACTGTTTTAAGTTTAGCTGAATTAATATAGAGGTGCAACACTAAAGTATCATTTGATCATTATGGTTATGTTCTGTTTGTTTTGTTTCTGAGTTCCAGCTGGAGCGGTGGGTGTTCCCTCCAGCGATGCACCTTTCTCGCATCATGATCAGATAATTCGCTTTGCTCACGACTTCATTCCCAAGTGCAAAACTTTCATCGGAGTCTATGTTTGTATAGTCCGATTCTGTCCAGATCTTCCCGGACATTCTGACAATGTTAAGAGCGCCAGGATCATAAATGGCAAGATCACAGCATCACTTTCAACCACACAGTGCCTGAGTTCTGGTACCAGTTGTCTCGAGACTCTCTTCCACTCCGGAGTTTTCCATGGTGAGAGGCGTAGAGCAGGTGTGGGCATATTCATTGCCTCCCAGCTCAGTGCCTGTACATTGGGGTTCACACCTGTGGACGAGAGGGTTGCCTCCCTCCGCCTTCGGGTGGGAGGGGGTGGTTCCTGAATTTTGTTTGTGCCTATGCACCAACAGCAGCTCAGAGTACTTTTAGGAGTCTTTGGAAGGTGTGCTGCGGAGCACTCCTGCTGGGGAGTCCAACGCTCATGTGGGCAATGAGACCTGGAAGGGCGTGATTTGGAGCAACAGCACCCCCATTCAGAACTCGAGCGGTGTTTTGTTGTTGGGCTTCTGTACACATCACGAATTGTCCATAAAGATCACCATGTTCAAACATAAGGGTGTCCATGTGTGGACTTGGCACCAGGACACCCTTGGCCAGAGTTTGATGATTGACTTTGTGTTTGGATCAACGGATTTTTGGCCGCATGTTTTGGACACTCAAGTGTAGAAAGGGGCGGAGCTGTCAACTGATCACCACAGGACAGATCTTGGTAAAGGACGGCTCTCGTTCGGTAATCTTGATTTTGACGCAAACATAACAAATAAATCCACACTCATCTATGTCACGAAGCAGCCCCGTCAAGAAGGACTGGGAAATACATGGCTGACGCCAACGCGCCTCACGCACACACATTACCGTTCGACACTCATCGCTTCATTTCTAACCCAGTTTATTCTACACCCGAGCACCACACCATTCCCACTTCCTTTACAGTTTCAGTAGTGTGATCAATGATGCACACTTAGTTTTATTGTGGTGTAAAGCAACATTGAAACATACTCATACTCACCGATCATGAGACGCTGTACGCAACCCACAATGCACCATCTGGCAAGTCCAAACATGGGCATAGCTTCTGAACTGCTTAAATATTTTTTTTTCCCCGCGTGTTTCAGAGATCAGGTGACTGAGAGTTAGTGTTTTATTAAATAACATCTTTTCATTTTTTAATGTGATTAAAATGTCTATGGACAAAAATAAAAGTAATTATTGGTATAGATTCGACCATGTGATTCCCAAGGGGGAGGACAAAGCACAGATAAGAATATATAACATTTTTTTAAAGGTTCGGGTAGTGTGTGCAGTGTGTTGAGGTGAAAGGTACTACACAACAGTGAGTAGGAAACGTTTACACATTTGCAATTAACTGAACATCGTTGTTATAGTTTAACTCCATTCAGTGTGTGTCAGTGGCGTTCCGTCAGGGCCTTCAAGCAAACACTATCAGAAACAAGAGACCAACCTACATTTGCAACTTAAATGATGTGGAAATAATTTATTTCCAAGAGTATTTTGTTTTCATTTCATTGCGTATGTATTGTTCGCGCAGCTTCCAGTCCTCTGTGGGTTAATTTTTTTTTTTTTTCGTCCACTCAGCCATCCCGCAGGTCATGTGACAAGCTCATTTAGCCGTCCACTAATTAATTCAGCTACGATCGCTTCTGACTGGTTCAGCTTTTGGGACCAACCAAACCTGTTGATCTCTGTGACTGCATCTGACCTGAGTTGTTGTGACAGCTCTGAAAGAGATATTCAGCTTATGAACTTCTATCAACAGGTCCTTAAACTCAATGGTCAAATCTTAGCCGTGGTGCACATTAGAATCTGTCCATCAATTCAAGCATTTCTTTTTCCATTGTCTTTTGTAGTTGTTGTTCCAGCATAGCTTCCTTGTGGTCATCTTTAGGGGTGTCCTCGTTAGGTTTAACTTACTGGGGTTGCATTGGAGCGGTATTTTTATGTTCGCTCTTTAATGTATCATTGAAAATGACTACAAAGGGAGCATGGCAGCGTGAGCTTGTCTAGATAGATAGATTAGATAGATTGGTGTGTGTATGTGTGTGTGTGTTAAAAGTCTGATGGTGAATTTATGTTTGTTTGCGTGTATTTGTACAACTCACTGTTTGGCCATCCATGCAGCATGCTCAAAAGCCAGTTCAGCACTACCAATCTTCTTCTTGCAAAGATCAATGTGTTTTCTGAACTGGGAAATTGCATCAAGTGGAGTATTGTGCAGGAAACACAGACGGCACACCTAAAGAAAAAGAATAACAGGTTTGTTTTACAACAGCACATTAAAACCCAATAGGCAGGCAAATATGTTGTCTGATGTTAGCCCTTCCTACTCCTTAACTAGTCATCCCTACTTGATATATTCACACGTGATGACGCAGCATGAGACTCTGTATTAATTTCCTGAATTATTGTGTCTAGTTTTTTTATTTTAATTAATCTATTACTGTAACTGTCTTTGTATATGTCAGATTTTTACATTTAATATGCTGTTTAAATAAAGTTGAGTTGAGGTATGACATATCCTCCAAACTACTTTATCCACTACTTTCTAAATCACCAGACCCATATACTGAACACTGTCGTATTTTGGTATTTGCAGTGCGGCCTCTGTGTCCCTTGTCATTCATGCAGAATGTTTGAAAAGTTGTCATGGATGCACAGACTCATATTGAGTCACACTGACCCACCAGGATGCTCACTGTATGTCATTTAGGGACTTCATAACCCGCTGCAGTTTGCCTATCAGCCTGGCATCGGCGTGGAGGATGCCATTACTGCTGTCACACCTGGAGAAGGCTGGGAGCACTGTGAGAATCATGTTCTTTGATTTCTCCAGTGCCTTCAACACCATCCAGCCCAACTTACTGGGAGACAAACTGCAGAACGCCGGAGTGGACCACCACCTCACAGCATGGATTACAGACTATCTCACAAACCGGCCGCAGTACGTGAGGGTACAGAGCTGTGTGTCCGACAGGCTTCTCTGCAGCACTGGAGCGCCGCAGGGGACTGTTCTGTCTCCATTCCTGTTCATCCTCTACACCAGTGTTTTTCAACCCCTGTGCCTCGGCACACCAGTGTGCCGCAAGACATTGCCAGGTGTGCCGCGGGAAAATATCCAAATTGTATGCCTGTGCAGTCTATCGCCCAGAAATTAATCGTGTAGTACCCTCCCATACCGCTAGGGAGCAGCAACAGCTAGCCAATTCCCTTGTGTTTAGACGAGAGACAAGCGAATTTGTGACGCATGAATGCAGGACGACGGTGAAACAATAAATATGAAAGATGAGAAAATACTCTTTTCTTTGTGTTCATTTGATTCCAATTCAAGCTGTTATAATGTCATTCTTCAGTGCTAAAAACGGTTATAGTAACAATATAACACATTAATCATTCAAATAAGCGTTTTTTTTTTTTTCACATTTTCAGCTAGTGGTGTGCCGCGAGATTTTTTCAATGAAAGAAGTGTGCCTTGGCTCAAAAAAGTGGACTGGTGCCAGCAGAATCACCTCTAGATCAACCCTAGAAAAACTAAGGAGTTGGTTGTGGATTTCTGCAGGAAACAGTCCTCACCTGCACCGATGAACATCCAGGGTATGGACATAGAGAGGGTGACCTCCGACAAGTACCTAGGTGTCCTTCTCAACAATAAACTGGACTGGTCTACTAACACGGACACCCTGATTAGGAAAGGACAGAGCCGACTCTTCCTACTCAGGAAACTGAGGTCTTTTGGGGTTCAGGGGTCACTCCTTAAGACTTTCTATAACTCGGTGGTGGCCTCGGCCATCTATTATGGCATTGTCTGCTGGTCAGGCAGCATCTCCGCCCGGGACAGAAAGAGACTGGAGCGACTGGTCAGGAGGGCCAGTTCTATCCTGGGCTGCTCCCTAGACACTCTGGAGGAGGTGGGCAACAGGAGGATGGTAGTTAAGCTAAAAGCTATGATGGACAGTCCCTCCCACGCCCTCCAGCCCGCCCTGACAGCACTAGGTAGCTCCTTCAGCCAGAGACTGTTACACCCGCGCTGCAAGAAGGAGAGTTACCGCCGCTTGTTCCTACCGACTGCTGTCAGGCTGCTGAATAAAAAATAATTGTAAATAGCAAAGCCACCTTATCTTATATCTATATTTATATTGCCCTTAATTGAATGGTGTACATTTATTTTGTGAATGCAAACACTTTGTTTTTCTTCTTTCTTCTTTCGACCCACAATCTTGCTGCTGTAGACTGTAAATTTCCCCAGTGTGGGACAAATAAAGGATATCTTATCTTATCTTACAAGTAAAAAGCCTGACATTAACTTGTTCGGGACTTACTAAAAGATTTTAAGGCTATATTACTTAACACCTGTGTCATAGTGAGTCCTTTGTGATTAAGACCTAATTTTCCATCTGGGTATTCACATGAACTCCCTGAGCATTTGTTGAGCCACGGTGAGAAACGTCAGCCATCCACACAACATCCAAACCAGTATCACATCTGCCCAAAACCTCAGACCATAAATTACATGATGTGGGTAATAATGTGACAAAACAATCCAAAGCCCCTATATATCAAAATGGAACATCCCATTGAGATTCGTGACACAAATAAAATTAGCCCTAGTCTGTTGCTTTCATTTTAGCACACAGGTCCTTCTAAGCAAAAATAATTAAGTGTCACTACAATCTGTATTTATATGGTCCCACAGTGTACACTTACAAAAAATAGAAAACATGTCATTGAATAAAATACAAAAACATCTAATCACCTGGCCCCTGAAATGAAAGAGCCTCATTTAAGGGGGTCGTAAATTGTACCTATGTTTGAATTTCCTCAAGTGAGCAGTCCATGTGCCCCCTGCACTGGCTTTTCTGTTACGAGTCTAAGTGTATGTGTGTGAATATATGCTTTAAATGATACAGAAAAACTGAGTATGCATTCTTAGTGACACTACTAAAACTGTAAAGCAAGTGGGATTGGTGTTGTGTCCTGTTTATAAGTTAAACTGGAGTGGAAATGAATGAATGAGTGAAGAAATATGTGTGCCAGCTTCATCATGTGGGTTGAGATGGGGAGAGTACTGCAAAAATGCTCATGCAGGCATCTTAGAGGGATCATTGGCTACAACTATTTTGGATAACACAGTCCTCAACTCGTGTCTGAATGGGGTGTTTTTGCGAAATAATCCCGACCATAAAGATACAGACCTTGTAGTTAATGAATCCTGCCAAAGTTTTGATCTCCAACATATTTGACTCATGAGCTCTTAGCTCATGAACAAGACTGTAGGCAGTTCTGTAGTGCCTGTAGGAAAAGACAAAATTTTAAGGTACTCACATCCCATCGCTCGGTTACTCATTATTAACTTACTTTAATGCATTCTGAGTGTCTTGCTTAAGCTCACTGAAGAAAGCGATTTTGAACTGGTGTCGGACAAACAGCAACTAGAAACAGGAAGTTAAATATATCAGAAAAAGGACAATATATGATTTATTGCAAGGATTTAAATGTTATAAAGTAAAACTACAGTGGCAATAACAAGTAACCTCATCCCTGTGATGGCACATTTTTGTGACAAAAAACAAAATGACACCAATATAATTTTAAACCTTTTTCCAACATTATTGTGACTATAACCTATATGATTAAATTGGAAAATATTAATGGAGAAAGGTGAAGTAAAAACAAGTGAGGAAATTTGTTTGCAACATGTACTCAAGCTTTTATAAATGGGAATGTGGTTGTGTTCCAAATTATCAAATCACATTAACACTCAAGTTGAATGGGAGTGAGCATACACCATTTAAAGTGCCTCTGATTAAGCCCAAGTTAAGTTTGGCTTTCCTAGCACACTTTTACTGATATTTTTCTTTGCTTTATCGTAACAACTTGAAGATTATGTGTGAACACTGACTGGTATAACTCTTCATAATTCTCTCCATGGCGACAAAAGCCCCATTTCCAGTGACAAAAAACTATATACAGTATATACATGCTATATGAACTTGAATGACATCCGATTTTTCATCCAAGGAGTTTCGTGTGACATCTGTCCACCCTCTGATAACAGCTTCATTTCTTCTGAAAAGGCTTTCCATAACGTTCATGAGTTCAGGAATTTTCAACCATTCCTCCAGAGGAGTATATGTGAGATTACACATCAATGTTGGATAACAAGGCCTGGCTCTCAGCCTTCACTCTTATTCATCTCAAATGTGTTGGCTTGAGGTCGAGAGTCTGTATCAAATTAATCCACACCAAACTCTCTTTTTCAGGTCTTTACAGCATGTACTGTACCTTACTTTCTGCACTGGTAAACATTCATGTTTGAACAAGAATGTTAAAAAAATTCCCATGATCACCTTCTAAGCCTTGTGGAAAGCCAGAAAAACAGCCACTGTTGTGATTGCAAATGGTACCCTGACATCATATTAAACCCAACTGACGAAGAATCGGTTGTCACTTAGAATGCTGTCAAAAGTATTTGCCCCCTTCCTGATTTCTGTGTTCTTTGTGAAATTGATCACACACACACAGATTTCAGTTCATCAAACCAATTTTGATATCACACAGAGACAACCCAAGGAAATATAAAATGCACTTTCCAATTTAATTTAAAGCACAAATACAATCCAAATTTACATTTGTCCTTTTGTGAAAAAGTAATTGCCCCCTGAACCTAATAATGGACTATCAAACCCTTGGCAGCAATAACTGAAATCAAGCGATAATTGCGATAATTGGTGATGAGTCTTTCACGTCGCTGTGGATAAGTTTTTTGTGGAGGGATTTTTTTTTTGTTAAATTTAATTGGCATTTAGAAACTGCAACTTCTTCTTTGCTTGGGTAGTATCCATGTTATATTAAAATTGGTTTGATGTACTGAAACCTTAGTATGTGATCAATATGAAAAGAACACAGAAATCAGCAAGGGGGCAAATACAAATTCACAGCACTGTAAGTTCATATACAAGTTGAGGAAAGTGAAAGCGAATACTTTTGCCAATATGATGTACACCACGTGTCAAACTCCGGTCCTCAAGGGTCACTACCTGCATGTTTTACATGTTTCCCTCATCCACCACACCTCATTCAAATGAGCAGCTCATCAACTAGCTCTGCAGGAGACTGATAACAACCTTGATCATTTGAATCAGGAGTGTTGGAGGAGGAAACCATCTACAACATGCAGGATAGTGGCCCTCAAGGACCAAAGTTTGACACATGTGGTGTACCTGCACCTGCATCTTGCTATTGGTCTCATTGCAGGCTCCTCGGCTAGATTTCTTTTTGTCCTTTCATCGATTTTGAAGAGACGTCCAGGTCTTGGGAGAAAAAATTGCTGTCTTTTATTTCCCACTTGACAATTACTGTCTACGTCTCATGGTACATTTTATGTCTTGGACAGCTAAATTTTATTTAAGGTTATCAAAATGCACTTAAAATGATGGCAGATGAGATTGAATGTGCATGGCTCAGGGAGTGGTCATGTCTCAACTCAAAGGTTGTGGGTTTGATCCTCAGCCCTTGTGACCAGGCCAAACTCTCCAAGAAAAAAAATATTGAATGCCCAGCTGCTCCTGATGCTGTGTCATGCTGCGACAGCGTTAAAGCACTCTGAATATCCCAGTTACATCCCCAGTTATGCGGATGTGCGCATTAACACATTTTATTTTACTTCCCTTCACAAATGTATTTCATTTGTTTCTATTGAGTTGTACAGGTTTTAGGCCACAGCAATGGTGGAAAATGTTGGAAATAATCAATTTTGGTCTTTCTTCTAAACAAAAACCCGACATCTGAACAGGGGGTGTGTAATCCATTGAAAGTCTGCTTTCTTTTTTTCCCATACCTGATGTGTTGTCTTGTTTAGAAACTCCTTATGGGATTTAACACGACGAATTTCATTGTAATAGTAAGTCTGAGCATGTTCATAAAAGGCATTCTCCAACCTAGAAAGACAGACAGAAATAATTTCAGAACACCATTTAATGCAAATTCTCACTGTCTTGTGAAAAATGCATGTCGTTTTTGTCATTTTAAAAAGGTTTGCATTGTTTTTATGTTCAAAACGCGGACACTCCATTAATGTAAGAAAACATTTAAAAATGACAAAAACGGATGTTCCTTTTTTTCCCACAAGATAGTGACAAAATACACATCTGTTAAAATGCTACGTCAGGGGATAAAGAACTTGTAAAATAATGAATAATAAATAGTATAGAAATGAAAGAAGATAATGCAGTGTCAGGGAACTCCACCACCGCGTAAGGGGAACTGTCTAATACTTTGTATTCTGACTCCTTCATATGAGGTAACCAACATTTTAACAGCTCCCAATATTATGTAGTGCAGATACACACGAATTCAAATTATATTCACAAAAACATGTGCCATTTGCATTTTGTATTAGAAACGCCCACAAACTCCGGCACCGTACACCACCGACAAACCATGTTGGCCTGATGGGAAAATGAGCAGGCATAAACTGAAATAATTGAAACCCAACACAAAAAAGTCAAGGCCCCGAAGAAATTGCAGATTGCGGTAAAGCAAGCAGATTGAGACGGCAATGTGGTGTAGTGTTTGTTGTGTGTCATTACGGAAAGGCACCTGTTTTGTTGCTTATTACATAAAAAGAATCAGTGTCGAGAGAAGCGCACACATGTACAGGCACGAACATGTACATGCTGGCACACGCAGTTCCAATTCACATTTCTAATTGCAGAGTTCAGTTCCAAATTTGAACATTTTTCATTGTGTTATTTTTGCAAATAGTGTTACTTTGATGTCAAAAACCTTCTATGTGGTGTCTATGTTGTGATATAGTTGTGTAGATATTTGAGAGGTCACAAAAGCAAAAAATACCAGTGTCAAAGTCGAAGCTGTGCTTCAAGTGCATCTTCTTACAAAAAAATAATTTTCTCTTTTTTGGTACAAATACTATTTTCTCCTGCTAATGATGAAAGAGCAAAAAAGGTCAGAAAAAAAATTCTGATGAAAGATGGAAGTTGAATCTTTCCCATGTTTGAACTGCGGTTCTACACAATATTCTATGTGCCTTGAAAGATCAGTCAAAATTGTCTGAAATGGCTGGTACTGAAGGGGTTTTCTTTTGAAAATGGCTGGGATTGAATGGGTGAAATATCATATCTGTTGTTGGTGAATTGACAGCTCTCATTTTGAAACATTTGAAAACTTAAGGCACTTGTAAATCAAGGTAACAATTGCATCAATTTTTAATTTCCATGGATGGTATTTAATGCATTCTATTATTACAAAAAAAAAGCCAAATAAATCTGATGCATTAGTATTATTATTACCTTATAATGTAACCAACCAGATGGTCGGTATGTGGCAGAACAAATAGACTCTTTCCGGAAAGATCACAGGCATGACAAATAGCTGCAGCTCTTTCAGATGCCACCAAGTCTTCTCCTATAAAAATATTAAAAAAAAAAAAAAAAAAGAACTGTGAGTGACACAAAAACAACAAGACAGTGGTTTAGATGCAATACACAGATAATGAGATCGTCGATTACACATCCAGCAACAATATTCACCTATTTTCTACCTTATTCCCCCCCAATAGCTGTTGAAATTGTATGTGTAAAGCATACATTTCTGTTGCAGTTGACTGACTCACATCAGAATCAGAATCATCTTTATTGGCCAAGTCTGAAGAACACACAAAGAATTTGTCTCCGGTAGTACAGGCTACACGAGTATCATCAATAACAAGCAACTATGACAAACAAGGACATGACACATAAGTAGCAAAAGACTTTCCAGTGTGGAAGGGTACTGTTGTGCAGTAGTACCAACCAATGACAGCTGTGAGACCATATGCAAAGTATCAAGCAGAGCTAAAGTGATCAGTGGTAGAATACTATAACAGTTGTGCAGTTCGTGCAGATCATCATTGCACCATTTTAAAGTGACCAGTAGCAATTTGTAGAGCAACATTAAGTGTGCAATTGTACAGAGGTCCTTGAGCGCTTTAAAGTGTCTGGTGCTGTGCAATATAGATCAGTGACAATGGTACAAGTAAGTACACAACTGGAGCGACAATGATTATTGCGGTAATGCTGTTCCACAGGGGTGTGTAAAATTGCAAAGAGCAACAATAGATTTGGGATACTGTTCAGGGAGTTAATGGCTAGAGGGAAGAAGCTGTTTGAATGTCTGCTGGATTTGGTGTGCATGGATCAGTAGCGCTTGCCGGACGGGAGTAGCTGTAAAAGGTGGTGGGGAGGGTGCGGTGGTTTCAGTAGGATTTTCCGTGTCCTTGTCTGAGTTCTTGCAGTGTGCAAGTCCTCAAGAGTGGGTAGGCGGTGTCAATGATTTTTCCGCCGTCCTAACTGTCCGTTGCAGTCGGATTTTGTCCTTTTTTTGTGGCGGCCCCACACCTAACCGTGATGGAAGAACACAGGATTGATTAGATGACTGCCGTGTAGAACTGTCTTAGCACCTCCTTTGGCAGGAAGTACATCCTCTGCTGGGCTGTTTTCAGGATGGAGTTGGTGTTGACCTCCCACTTCATGTCCTGGGAGACTGTGATTCCCAGGAACTTGAAGGTCTCGACGGTTGACACAGGGCAGTTGGATAGTGTGAGGGGCAGCTGTGATGAAGGAGTTTCCCAAAGTCCAGAAACAGGATCCTTGCGTAAGTCCCTGTGCTGTCGAGGCACTCGAGGATGTCGTGCAGCCCTATGTTGACTGCATCTCCACAGACCGGTTTGCCGGGTAGGCAAACTGCAGAGGGTCCAGCAGGGGTCCATTGATGTTCTTTAGGTGGTTCAGCACAAGGCGTTCGAAGGACTTTCGTGTGAAAACCGGAGCCGGCTCATCAGCACAGACTTTCAGGCAGGAGGGCCCCGCAGATTTCTTGATCTTCTGCTACTTGAAGAGCCATCTTACGTCCTGTTCACATGAGGGGAACCAAGGAAATTGCAGCATGCTCGATACTATCCGGTGTTCCGTCAACAAATTTGAATACTAGATCATGAACTCTTCATAAACATTTGCTCTTCTCTTTGAATAGGGTGCAGTTGGACTTGATGGTAAAAGCGACGTCATGGAACAGGGGAAGCGGAGTGCGCAAACCTGTCTGAAAACCAGTCATCATGGTAGCTATTGCTGCTAATCCTACTTAGCTAAACCTAACTCGGGAAAAAAACTGTGACGGAATTCCCTCATGGAAATTGCGAAAATGTATGTGACTAAATTAAGTGGCAAGCAATGTGTCTTAAATTAAATCGGACACGACGGAACGGAAGAATCCAAGTGTGCTATAAATTCATCTGGGAAAAGTTGAGAACCACATCTTGGATGTGGAGGATAGCAATGCTACATTGGCTAACAAATACATCATCAAAAGCGGAAGGTGGCGTGGCCTGGACGGGGGCGTGGCCACTTACAAAAGTGGCACTAAACATGCTGAAGATGAAGTGCATTCAATTTACACACTATTTGAAACAGAAAAAAATCCCAAGATTGTTCACTACTCTTTCAAGTGAAAATTTGTGCAATTTTGCTTATGCATTCCTGGTGAGCACCAATATGTAACTTCAAATTTGCTGGGTGTAAAGTGGAACAACTGTGGAGCCGTGTTAATGGCCACGAAAATCGAGCCAGACAGAAAAATATCAAGGTCATTGGATTGAATGAAGGAAACAGGGATGACAATGGCTCGTGATGAAAAAAGCGGAAGGAGGCGTGGCCTGGACGGGGGCGTGGCCACTTACAAAAGTGGCACTAAACATGCTGAAGATGAAATGTATTCAATTTACACACTATTTGAAACTTGAACAGAAAAAATCCCAACATTGTTCACTATTCTTTCAAGTGAAAATTTGTTTCACCGAGGTTGCGTGAATCTGTAATGCTTTCCATCCTCTCGATCCGTATAGAATGACATCGTCACACACTGTACACAGAGCTTTACCGGCGACATCGAGCTTTTTCACGAAATCCGACACAAGCACAATGGTTCCTCTTTACTGTTTCCTACTGGGGACACCGTCAGCTTTCTATCCAACCAGTCCCATCGAATGTATTTTATTATATAGAGTGGATGTCTATTTACAGTATATACATCAATACACAGTTTCATGAGGTAGAATACTTTATTTTCTCTTCATTTTAAGCTTTTTAGCAAGCGCTAAAAGCTTATTCGTCCTCTCCGTCTTTTTCCACTCTCTTTTTAGCCAACTCCTCTTGTTTTTACACATGCTCCAGGCTGTCGAAAAGCGCTCGTGATCGAGTAGTTACTTTTCAGTAGAAATGTCTGTTTTCGGTGTTTCACCGAGGTTGCGTGACTCTGTAAAGCTTTCCATCCTCTCGATCCGTATCGAATGACATCGTCACACACTGTACACAGAGCTTTACCGGCGACATCGAGCTTTTTCACGAAATCCGACACAAGCACAATGGTTCTTCTTTACTGTTTCCTACTGGGGACACCGTCAGCTCTCTATCCAACCAGTCCCATCGAAACGTGTTTTTTAGATCGGCATCTATCTGACGCACTTCAGCTTCGCCGCGAGTCTCGATAACATTCGGCATTCGC